GCAGTTGCTCTAAGATGAGACTAGTAACTTTTAAGGCTAGAGAAGGCTATAGATTACCTTATCTGAGGTTCTCCAGAAAATGCCTGTTGGCTTTTCAGACACCTGTGGCTTGTAATTTCAGAGAATGTGGGAATTCTGCCCCTAGTTGGCTCCTCCACCTGCAAGACAGGTCAGCTGCAACACAGCAGAAGCTCTCCTGGTTATAGTCTGTAGCTGGAGACTCCCAGGGAAGGAGGTATTCTCCTAGGCTTTGTTTGCTGGTCTCAGAAAGCCATGATTTTCAGACAAGGTTGCAGTTAGACATGGTCACAAAATAAGATCTATAGAAAAGATTCATGCTAATGTTTGTGTCAAGATACTGACTTGTCAGATTTAAGACCCCTGATTTGTGTTTGTGCATAGGATGTGGTGGATGAGGTGGTACCATGCTCCAGCTCCTTCCAAATTTGTGCTTCTTGCCTTCAGCAGAAGGATTTCCAGGAGACAGGGAAAGCCTCTCCAGATGTGCAAACCCAAGCTGCTTGTGAGCTTTCAGGCATGGCTTTCTCATATTACATAAGGCTGTGTAGGATCTGGAATGTGAAAGCTACTTTGAGTCACAGGTGAAACATTTCCAGCCTGAGTACTGGTAGTGTTTCTCTGCTTACTACATGGGGAAGGCTGCTGGGCCACTCTCCTGGGGGACTGCTGAGTGACCGAGCTCTGGCTAACATCAGTGAGGGCTGGTAGTGCTTGGAGGTGCTCAGGATTTGGCTGGAACGAAGGCAGCAGTTCCCAGTATTTGGAAACAAGTTACAGTTGAATCATGGCCCACGTCTACCATTGCCTTATTGCATGGCCTGCAGGTAAATCATTTTATCTCAGTGGAAGGAGGAGTGGCTACAGCACTTGAGAGGGACTTAATGAGCTATGACTCTGCTACAGGCTCCCTGTGTGGATAAGTCACTTGGACTTTCCAGGCAAGAAATAGGGATGATTATGACACTTGCCTTCCTTCAAAGTGTTTTGAGGAAACATCCTACGTACTTAGGAAATTAAGGAGCCTCTTGTGTACTACAGGAAATAGAGGCACACTTGGATCTCTGTTTCATGTTTTCTAGGATGGGGTAATGCATGGCTTTAAGCACATTGAGATCTTGGTATATATAAAGGAATGAGCATAGGCTTGTTAAAATCTGTTCTTAAAACTGGCCAAAACAATCATTTCTTAATACAAATGATGGAAGCTTTGACATTTTCCAAACTCTATTGATTTTGCAGCTTAAGTGGAATGGTTATGGGGCTGAAAGGGAGTATTTCTGATAACTGTCATTGAAATGGTGTGTTTATTCTATTTCTAAAGAGGGGCCTTAATTTTAAGACTGACTGATCTCCAATGAAAAAAAAAAGGTTAAAAAACCCTCACCTCCAAGCTAAACAGATCTGATTTGGCAGTCCCAGGAAAAGCAAGACAGGTTGACCCATGGAAAATGTCAGGGCGGAGGGAAGGGGCAGGTTGATCTCCAGCTCTGTCCCTAAGTCTCCATTCCTGTTGCCTTGCAGAATGACATCTATGAGTGGGTACGGGACCACCGTGTTCATCACAAGTTCTCCGAGACAGATGCGGATCCACACAATGCCATGCGAGGCTTCTTCTTCTCCCACATCGGCTGGCTGCTGGTGCGCAAGCACCCAGATGTCATAGAGAAGGGCCAAAAGCTGGACCTGAGTGACATAAAGGCTGACAAAGTGGTGATGTTCCAAAGGAGGTGAGTGGTGGGGTCAGCCCCAGTGCAGAGCCATGTGGGATGGAGTAGAGACCCCACAAATGGGCTGAAGGACCCCAAGCGCCTTTGAGGAAGCATGAGGGGGTTGAGGGCATCATGTGAGAAATGTGAGTCTTTGGTCTGCCCGAAGCTTTGCTGTGGGATGAACTGTAAGAAATAAGTTGTGCCTCTCCTACAGGAAGTATTTAGGAGCTAATGCTACCTCCAGCCCTCCCACACCCCTTTCTTGCCTGCCTAACCTGCAGCATGTTGCTAGCAGCAGGCTGAGCTTCTCACCACAAAGCACCCCCATTCCTGCCTGTCCACAGCCCAGATGCTGCTTTGATTGGCCCAGAGCCCACCCACGGGTGCCTCCGGGCCATCCTTGGAGATGTTGTGGTACACCTTCTAGGCTGTGCCTCTGCCTCTCTCCCACCAGCCTCCTGGAAATAGTGTGGTGAAGGAGGAGTTGAAACATGAGAGAGACAGTCACTGGGAAGGACATTCTTGATTCACCGGTGTCTCTCAGCTGTCTGGGGCTGTAGTGGGACTGATAACCAGTAGAGGTGAGCCTGTCAGGGCTGCAGTGATGTGGGACTGAACTCATATAGTAACCACCCTCACTCCAAAGGTCGCTAGCTCAGTCCCAGATGAGCCAAGCAAAGTTTATGGTTATTCTGCTTTTTGTGCCTAGGATTCTTCTTGTGGGTCATCAGAGCGGTTTGGCTTCCTTTACTCCCATTCCTCCAGTATGAGAGAACCTCACATGCCCATCTTTTTGATAGGGCAGATGTCCCTCACTGGTACTTGGTGGAATGTACTGGTAGGTAGGGCCAAGTCTGCAAGGAGGACTTGCAGCACTGAACCAGAGCTGGACAAGGGACCTTCTGTGGAGCTCTGCAAGCCCAGCATTGCCTTTATGGGGACCAACATAACTGAGAAGTAAATGGAAGATGAGGCCAAAAGCAGCAGCCGGTGCCTGGACTCACGGTGATGGGGACACTGCTTTATGCCCAAGTGAGATTGAGACAGGGAGAGCAGGAGTTTAGTCTGAGTCTCCTGTCTGGTGATTAGACTTAGGAGTCTCCAGGAATGGCTTCTGCACATCTAGGGCAAAAGATGCAGGGCTCAGAGGTGAGGCATTTCTGCACTTGATTTCCCCTGTATAGCTAAGCATGAATCCTCTAAAGGGAGGACTGAACCAGGCCTTCATCTCCTGCCTCTGCCACTAAGCATTTTCCTCCTGGTCCCTTCCCTTCTAGATACTACAAGCCCTCGGTGGTGTTGCTGTGCTTCACACTGCCCACTGTAGTGCCCTGGTACTTCTGGGATGAATCCATCATCATCAGTTTCTTCATTCCAACCATCCTGCGCTACGCCGTAGGGCTCAATGCCACTTGGCTAGTGAACAGTGCTGCTCACATGTTTGGCAACCGGCCATATGATAAGAACATCAACCCACGGGAGAACCCCCTCGTCAGCCTGGGCGCCCTAGGTATGTTCAGCATCCATGTCTTTTGCTGTGGGTAGACAGTAGAGTGGGAACTGCCCCTTGGGGCTGCAGCTGCTTCTAGGACTTTCTGTGAATCCAGGTGTCCCTATTTCCCTCAGCATGCTTCCTCTCCAGCCTTTGCATATGGGGATATTTCCTAGGCTGGCCAGTGAGTACATAAGGGCAGTCAGGTTATCAGCTGCCACCAGCCTCTCTCCAGGCTGCAAAGGACTCTGCTACACTTAGCACCTCCTTATCTCAATAGCAATATTTTATTTACCCTGCTCGAAGGTCTGTCTGCCCTGTCCACCAGACTGAAACATGTGTGCTGCAGTCTCTGTTCATCTGTCTTATATTTGTCAACTTCAAAACCAGCAGATGCACACTTGCACATGTTGTCATGGCAGCTGCTGATTTTGGGGGTACCTGAGGATGAGACAAGCCAGATCATCTCACGTGTTTCCCTGAAATTTTGGGGATCTAAGAAGGTACATCCCAGGATCAGCAATTGCCCTGATCTGTTCTCCCAAGCCCAAATCCTCAGTTAGTTTGGATAACTGTACATCAATAGGGCTGCACAGATTTCCACCACCGATGGATCTGCTCCTGGATTTTTAGTAGGGAGGGATTTGAACTGCAGAGACTCAGGAGGGTAGGAGCAGGAGTTCAGGTGATGTCATTGAAGGGGTGAGCACTGAAGCTGGCATTGACAGTGTCTGGAGCAGAGGATGGCTGACTGGGGTCGATTGCTTAATATGTCTGTCTGCATTATTCCTGTCTGGAAATGCCATTTGGATTTTGACTTTAGGACTGCCACTGTTGAGTATTAATTGGTCTGGCTTGCTGGGGGCTTGCTGCAGGTCTAACTGGTTGCTTGACCCATACTAGAAGGTTTCTCATGGTGGCAGAGGAAAAGCCTTTAGGATTCCCCTTGTGCTTTGGTGCTTTCAGTGAGCCAGAGCCATTCTCAGTTCCTCACCATGAACTTGTTTTCCTTTAAAGCATCATAGGTCTTCCATGACTGTCATTGCCTCATTTGGGCCGGCCTGGACATGATGGACCATGCCCAAATGAGATGGGGTAGATTGTAGAGAGGAGGGCTGAGAGGAGGAGCCTGGACTCAATTCAGAGCCTGTTTCAGGAATGTGGTGTTTTGGGACATCACCTACAGCTCTGCAATGTTCTGTCCCTGGTCATGTTTTGCAGGAGAAGGCTTCCACAACTACCACCACACCTTCCCCTATGACTACTCCACCAGTGAGTTTGGCTGGCGCTTCAACTTAACCACAGCCTTCATCGACCTCATGTGCCTCCTGGGGCTGGCCAGCGATCGCAAGAAGGTCTCCAAGGAGGTCATCCTGGCTCGGAAAATGCGTACTGGAGATGGGAGTCACAAGAGTGGCTGAGTTCCTGCTCCCCTTCACATAACACTTCCATACCTCTCCTTCCTCCTTTTTTCTCCCTTTCTCCCCTTCTGACCCCTCTGAACACGCTGGACAAAGGTTTAATGTTCCGTTTACTAACTACTGAATAATGCTACCAGTTTGCTTAAGATAATGAGTTTTAACCCCCTCCCATGCTGTATCTTAGGTGATGTATTTAAGATCTAGGACTCTGCCTTTGTAATGCGAGGCCACCCCTTTCCATCCTTCATTTTTCCTTTCTGTTCTCTCCATCCCCTCTACCCCGTCTCTCGCTTTACCTTGTCCCTGTCTCTCCCTGGTAGAGGAACTGGTAGGAAGTAGCACAGGGAGGCCCATCACAGCCGGCTACATACCATGGAGTTAAGGGAAGCCTGTACCAGCCAGCTGAAGAGTTGAGCCAAAGTCAGTGACTCTCTCCCAACCACCTTCACCCCAAAACTCCTTTCTCTGTCCTTCCTCCTTTCTCGAGGGGTGCTGACACACATGGCATGACTAAACTGCTCTCCTTGGGAAAAGCAGCCCTGTCTCCTTCTCTTGCCAGTGGAAAGAAAGTTATCTCTTTCCAAGTTGTCCCTTGGGAAGTTGTCTCCTCCTCCCTACCACACAGTCTCTCTGGTTCGGAGAGGAGAGCCCCATGACTCTTGGAGCTCCAGCCAGGTCCACCAGTGGCCTGCAGCAGTGGGCACTGGAGGAGGAGCCTCAGTGGCCAAATTACCTTCTCCATCTGGCATCACAGCCTTTTCCTGCAGGGACTGCCCCTTTGGAGAGTCACAGCAAGGAGGACGACAGATGGAGGGGTGCGCCACTGGCTGCCCTGGGGTGGCACCAGCCTGGGGTCATTTTGTGCAGTCCCAGCATTGAGACTTTTGCCAGCAAACGGGACTTTCCCAAAATGGAGAGAGGGAGAAGGATGTAAACCAAAGCTCCACTGCTTAGTTAAGCTGCTTTATGTGCTGGAGGAACAGGGTTCCCACTGGGTGGCAGGTGGATATCCTGGTGTCCTTGCCTGCCTTGCAGATCTGCATCCTGTACTGAGCACAGGGACAGGCAAGGGAGCACCTGCAGGAGTAGGGAGGGTGAGGGTGTCCGGGGAGCAGGTCTCTACCTCCACGTGGGCTCCCCTCAGTCAATTAATAAGTGCCTGAGAAACACCAATGCAGGGCCAGGCTGCATGGGGGGCTCAAGGGAGCCAAGACCTCTGAAAGAGATGCTGCTGCCAGCATCAGCCACCTCGGGGCTCTCCTGTCCAGGGTCCACCAGGATGGTTTACAGTTCCCTACTCCATTGAGGGACTGGGAGGCACCCGTGAGGGAGTGGGAAGGGGAGGCCAAAGCAGGTCCTTGTTGTCCCTTAGCTTGCCTCTCAGTGCCCTTGGCAAGCCCTATTGCCATCTCACTCCTTCAACCGTGAGGCAGGCAGCGAGGGTGGCTGAGCCTGCAGAAAGGTCAGTTATATCAGCAAGCCAACGTGGGCATGGAGCTGGAGGGTGTGCTGGGGGAAAAAGTCCTTGTGGATGTTGTTTCCTGCAAGTTTCAGCGACTGCAGTTTGAGGTCAGGTGGTGGGTCAGGTTCTGGGCATCGTAGCCCCTCACCCCTCACTGGGCTGAACATGCTTTTTTCCCCCCCCCTTAACTCTCCCCATTATTATTAATTTTTATTATTATTATTAGTTGTTGTAGCAATAGTATTGGTTTTGTTGCTTAAATGCATCAAATAGAGCTGGAGGAAAGCACAAGAGGTGGCCAGAACACGGTGATGTTGGAGTGGGGTTTGCAGCAACTCTTTATTCGGGCAGGCCAGGTTGGGCAAAGATGGAGTAGGTGCCAACTTCCTCACCTCAGCTCTGCCACGCAGCAGCCAGGCAGTCTTCATAGGAGCGAGCCTCTGCAGCTTTGCTTGCTTCTGCTGCTGCAAAACTCACCAGGAGCCAGGACAGCTCTGTGATGCTCTCCTTAAAAAGAACACGCTTGTTACTCAGAAAAGAAGTCATTCTCGTCTCCCCTCCCTGCCGCTGCCATGGTCTTGTTATTGCTCAGCCATGGGATCTTTGAAGGTTTTGAGCCACCAGGAGCAGTGTGGCAACCAACAGGGAGGAATGGAGCAGGGAGCCCTTCAGCTCACGGTGTAAGGAGACAGCATCCTTGCTGCTCCGAGGCTCAGAACTGCCTGGGGCTGCTGGGGCAAAGGGGCTGTGGCTGGAATTGTATCCTGCCTTTAAAAAAAAATATCTCAAAAAAGAGAAACAATGTTAGCTCTGTAATTGTGGGCTGGCTTCACTGTAGTCTAAACCCCTCTGAACTAGGAGTCTCCAGAGAGGATGAATTTGCTCCAGCCAGTAATTTGAAAGCAGTGTGGGGAGGGGAGAAGGTGAGGAGAATGATTTCCTTGCTCCTGGTGCCCTTAATGTGTTGTGTGACATACCCTACAGCAGGGAAGCGTGCTGTGACATGCTGCAATATTTCACATCCTCTCAGCAGAGAAGCAGGGTTTGCATCAAAGGTTCATTTCAAATTTCAAGTGCTGTTTTGGGTCCAGATTCTGGAATTAGGGTGGAAGATGAGGAGCAGTAACCAAACAGTCCTGGTGTTTGCCCAGTCACTTTAAAGGTAGATTGGCAAATATCTCTGGGTGCCTTAAATCTTTCTTTAATATACATAGAAGTATTGACAGCTATTTGCCGTATTTTTTTCTTTTTTTTTTTTCTGAATTATGAACATTCGAGGGGTTTCTTAATTATTTACTTGCCTACACTGAACTGTGGGTGCAGGTGATTTTGAATGTATTTGAGTTAGATTTTTTTTGTTGTTAGATTAAGAAACAGATACAACACTTTAAGTAGAACTTTGTTTGAGATATATATAT